TTATTCTGTATCTGATTAAGAATATGACACCTCTATGAAAACAGGGAGAATATATTTGAAATTTACCAAGCAGATATGATACTATTGTTATTTTTAAGAATATTCATTTCTGTATGTAAGCCAAAACAATGAGGTCGTGACTGTGTCTTTCTATATCATTTCTGTAGAAGTTAATAGTTAACAAATATAATAATAATTACAATAGTCAAGCAATAAAACAGATTGTTCGTGTAATGAAGGACTTATTAAAAAAGTAAAAATATAAGTCACTTTAGTAAATGATTGATTCAATTTAATGTCATTTATTTGTAGTTTGCCAAAAAAGAGGACATCGGAACGAAGGCACGTCTATTCAAGTACACTCGACAATGTTGCTTGAGATCCAGTTACCTCAAGTACAGCAACCTGTACAGAGCAATGTTAAATATCATGTTCTTCTAGAACCTAGCTATTATACGAGTGATAGTCCTGTAACAATAAAAATAAAAGTGGACAAAACAGATGATCATTTGAACATAGCTAGCAAAAAAGATCTGAAGTTTTCAAAAAAGACGAACTTGCGTTTGAAACGAGCTGTTATTTCATTAAAAGTGACTGTACAAACTCTAAAACAAATTTAATATCCACCAATTCTTTTGATATACGGAAAAGAACCTTTTCTGATACCCCTTTAGAAATTTTCTGTAGTGCCATTAATAATAAAATAGCCAACAGGCACCTTCCAGTTGCTGTTTGGAGAAACAACCATAAACACCAGCACATTGTTGGTAAACAGAATTATATCTTCTGTATCTACATCAACATAGACAAGAGCTTTCTTTACACTCAATTCTACATGTTTTCTTATGGCCGTTTCATCTCAAATCACTTGTTCCTTTTTTGTCACTTGTTTTAATATATTTGAAGCTTCCTGTGTAAAATCCGGTGCCAAATTAATACTTTGATACCACTTTTGAATAACAGATCATGCGGTAGAGCTAGACAGAGACGTCTTGCAAAATTGTAGGTTTTGTTGAAGTATACCTACAAAGTCAAAGCAAAAAGCCATAAAGTGGAGAATATGCTTTACGAGTCAGTTTTTGTTGTTGTTTTTTCTCAGATTAATAAGCAATGTCCTTTTAAGAGGTTATATCAAGTATGACATAAAACAATGGTTTAAGTTTTCTGACGACATATTAGCATCTTGTTCTTTCGATAAGAAAAAGGTGACACAGTTGTAATCTCAACAACTGAAAAATTTTGTAGACGTATTCTAACTAAAGTTTGCTCGTTCTTGATTCAAAATACTTTTGCACTTAAGACAATTTTCAAACTTGAAGAAGGTGAATATTTTGAATGGTAGTTCATTACTGATTTGCACAAACTGAAAGAATAAGAAGGATTACACCAGGAAATAAATTACGAATAAAGTACCTTTAATGGCAGAAACAAAAAATGAAAGTTAACTTTGGAGCACAAACTTCAAGTGTGTCAGATCTCGTAGAAATTTGCAATAAAGTCTTGAACTTACCTAACTTTAAAGGAAGTGAACCCACAATTAGATTTATAACACCAATTAAAAAACTCTTTGATTTTGTGAACTAAAAAATTTTGAAACATTTTCTGGTAGAAACAGATACCATCGAGCAAAGAATGTAAAACACCATTTATTAGGTTTCTGACTGCAACCAGGTCAGCGCAGAAATAAAATAAAGCTTTAGTATCATCATCTTCACCATTCTTAAAGTATATTTTAACGTATAAGTTAAGCCAGTATCACTTATAACTTTTGCTGCTGTTAGCTCATTTTGTGATTCCAATAACAACTCTATTATTCAACAGTTCACAGCTGCATATACAAGATTGTTCATGCGTCATGAAATAAAAGTAGAAGGAGACTGCACTGCCCAGAATGAAACATCAATTTTACATGTTACAGGTATAATCTCGAAGTATGTGAGCCTATACAGGACGATTGTTTGTTTGTTTGTTTTGAATTTCGCGCAAAGCTACACGAGGGCTATCTGCGCTAGCCGTCCCTAATTTAGCAGTGTAAGACTAGAGGAAAGGCAGCTAGTCATCACCACCCACCGCCAACTCTTGGGCTACTCTTTTGCAAACGAATAGTGGGATTGACCGTCACATTATAACGCTCCCACGTCTGAAAGGGCGAGTATGTTTGGTGGGACTGGGATTCGAACTCGCGACCCACAGATTGCAAGTCGAGCTCCCTAACTACCTGGCCATGCTGGGCCATACAGGACGACCAAGACTTTGAAGATGCACCAAACTACACGCTCCTTTCTCCGTATAAGTACGCAAGTATGGGATATACGGCTTATTACATAGTAAAAATGGTACAAAAATAATGTATTGTATAGATTGTTTGGAGTTCATAGATGAAAATTCTGTTTGGAAAGCATTTCAGATAATGGACAGCGTTTTGAGAGAGATTCAAGCAACTATAATTAGTCTTGGAATACAAATTACTGTTTTTAAAGAAATAGTTTTGAATGGAGTTTTCTCTGGTTTAGATGGACACGTCTTTGATTGTACGCCAGAAGATAACATGTTTACAGTTTCATAATGTGTTACATGGAAAAACGAACGCGTCAACTTGCTAGACAACAATCTGCAAACGTTACAGATGAAAAAGGAAGAAAAAAACTTTAAGTTAATTTTATTTAACAATTAATAGTTTCAGATTGTATGAAGTATTAAAATGCTTGTACAAATATCCAAATGATATAGAGTGCTGCTTGTACAATATCCAAAGGATATAGAGTGCTGCTTGTACAATATCCAAAGGGTATAGAGTGCTGCTTGTACAATATCCAAAGGATATAGAGTGCTGCTTGTACAATATCCAAAGGATATAGAGTGCAACTTGTACAATATCCAAAGGATATAGAGTGCAACTTGTACAATATCCAAAGGATATAGAGTGCTGCATGTACAATATCCAAAGGATATAGAGTGCTGCTTTACAAACTTTCGAGTGTATGGTACACTTATCAACCAATTATAATATAATTTGCGACATTAAATGAGATAAATAAATCATATAAATATTGTAGTGTAACTTAACCCAATTCAGTGGTTCATGTGCCTTATTAGTCTACTTGTGTAAATATATATGATATTCAAAATAACACGGTTATGCTCTATTGATAAACAATCAAGTACAACACTTAATAGTTTTGTGTTATTTCAATTATCAATACTTACACTGCTTTTATACTAACCATATATTTTATGTTAAAGTATCAGTTCAGTCTTATGTCTGAACCAGCTAATGTATGTTATATAAAATAAATAATTTTGTCGTATTTGGTTAATAATACAGATACTAAAAATTATACTTATCTTGCGGAATGGTAATTTAAAATCGGTGCTGCAATAGGATGTGTAAACCCCTTATCTCCATACTGAACCTGGATGCACATTGACTAGTTTTATTGTATTGACACTTGACATCAAGCGGTAGCCATATTGTTGGTCCCTAAATTGTCAACTGTCTATGTGATGGTTGAAAGTTTTGTAATCAATTAATTTTTTCAGTTTTTCGGTATTTTATGTCACTTCACTAAGTACATTTTGATACATTATTATAATACGTTATTACCTTTTATATAAATTACAAAAATACTTGTTTGCAAAATTGGCATTGTAAAAATAAAGAGAGCAATAACTGACAATATTGTGTTGGTCTGCTATATTATTAGTAAGAAATTGACAAATGTCGATAAAAATTTGTACAAGTCTGTGGTAAAATAGAAAGTACCTATTTAGAAAATTAAATACTTTAATGTTGTGTCGTACCCTATTCTTCAAATACAACGATAAAATTGGGCTTTATTCTTGCGAACTGCTTGACCTATTATGTCTCAGCAAAACATTATTACTACACGATTAACACTATAAAGGGTTTCATTGATCCCCAAACTATTTAGAATGCAGAAAACGTTTTATAAATTGAAATTTTCACAATTTACGGATTTTGAACATACACAACCATGCTGAAAACATTTTATGCAGGTTGATCACTGAAGAAATTAATCGGTAAGTTACGAAGAAAACCTTTTAAGATATAAGGGTTGTTAACTATACACAACAACACATACACACGCACCAACAACAGCTTAAATCCCTATATGTATACAGATAATACTTACACATACACACTCACTAGTTAATTAGAGGAAGACTGAGTAAAACGGATTTGTTAAATTTATTCAAAAACAAATACATTAAGTTGCACTTTGACCATTCACATTCGCAGTATGCTTATGCACGGGGTCACAATAGTTACATATAATTCACTCTAACGGCAGCTCGTCATAACTGATGATGTATAGGAATAGTCATTGTTTAGCGAAGGGGAGCATTTTACCTCACTTCCCCCCCCCCCTCCAAAGAATTTGTACAAAAACTGCACAAAAGCAAAATAGCGTATCGACTAGACGGGTCGACGGATAAACATGAAGTTTTAAATTAAGGCTTAAGATACGATAGAGTTTCTTGTGATTTATTTTTGGATAGGTAGCATTCAGTTAAAAAATGCGCTCATTGCCACGGATGGCAGTTTCAAGGCACGCTGCTAAATCATAAAAGGTTTTTAAAATATATTCTGCTAATTTTTTCAAGTTCTGATGTGTTCCGGGAAGTTAACAGTTGCTCTATACATGACAAAGGCAATAGTGGTAAGGGTGTAAAGGTATTCTTTAGAGTTACCATATCACGTAGGCTATTACGGTTTTTCTTGCCTTTCAGTTAACCCCATAGATATTATTAATTGTGTAATTTTTTCTGGTCATTTAGTTACACTTTATAACTTGTGACCACACGTAACTGTGGGAAAACTTCCAGTAACCGAAAGTATGTCAATGAATTATTATGGTCTCAAAAACTTAACGGTAATACTTGGGCCTTTCTGGAGATATTCCTCTTTCACACTTTATGTATTTCCTGTACAGAACTACACACGTGCTCAAAAACTATAGTATTTTATATTTTCATAGGTGGGTGTGCTCTTTATCATCCATGGGAAGCCCTTATCGTGGGTATGGTTGGATCCTTGTTAGCCAATTGCATGGCCCGTGTGCTTAACAAGCTTAAAATTGACGATCCTGTTGGAGCTATCTCGGTTCATGGAAGTGGCTCTATCTGGGGAATGATTGCAGTAGGATTATTAGTGGAAAAAGATTCTCTACTGCTCTTGAGTAAAGAAAACGCCGGACTTTTCCGTGGAGGTGGATGGTATCTTTTGGGAGCACAGACACTGGCTATCATTACCATCATGACATGGAGTGTTGTATGCACTTATATCTTGCTATTCGTAAGTAAGGAATTCGTGTTCTTTTTGAAAATCCTATTATCTTTGTATGTTTTGATGATAGATATTTAGAGATTTCAACCTTCACGCCGCCTCATACAACTCATAGGGTAAATGGCCAACTCAGAGGTCCCAAGGTTCAGATATAGGAATCCATAATTTAGAACTTCTGGACAAATGGAGAGCAAGCAGATAACAAAACTCGCCTCCTCCGCGGCTACTATTAATCAGTAGCAGGATTGGGTGTAATACTTATAATGTCACCATAGCTTAAAGTGAGGAGCGTGTTCAGCAGCACATACTAGGTCGAACTTTGGACCTTACGATCTGTAACCCAGCCCGTTAATCATCAGGCACGTCTGACTCCTGAATAATATACTTAGTGACATAAAATACACAGTCGTTTTCATAAACCAAACGTAGGCTGATTCATAAAAATGACCAATTTTTCAAAGTTAAGCTTGTTATTCACCTATAAGAATAGAAAAATAGCAACTGCAAATGTATCAAAATATAATTTTATTTTTCTCCATTTATTATAGACCTCATTTTTACCTATCAATTACTGTCATACATTGTATGAGTGTATGAATTCAGTTACTTGTTTAACACCAAACAATAAATATTCATTGAATAAACGTAAATTATTGGGCGAAGTAACGTCTCATCATAACTTTGTTTTTTCCCCTATTATAAACATGTTCTTATTTAGGCCATCAACAAGATTATTCCGATTCGAATGTCTTTGGAAGACGAGCTAGCAGGCGCCGACTTCGTAGAGCATAACATTCGTCATGAATGGCAACAGAATGTTCAACTTTTTACCATCACTACACAGGAGGAAACCATGGATCCAAATATTGGAATAACAGTTGAACCATTACAGAAGGAAAGCTATTTAAATACTTCAGAGTATGAGAATTTCATCGACACTCCTATACAGGCGGATGAAATAGAACCACAATCCAGAAAAACAAAGGAAGCGTGGATAAATGAAAGTGACCAATCTATTTTTCCTAGTTAAGACGAACCATTTTAACTTTTATACAAGTCTGTTTTATTTCAACGTATTGTGATGACATAACGTAAAATATTGTTTTCTTTCTCGATTATTTGATTAAATATACTTTCGACTATGATTATCATGAAGCTAGTTTGCAACTGGCTACATTGACATTTACATTATTGTTTGTTTCTTTGTTTTGAATTTCGCGCAAAGCTAC